TTAGTATACAGTACCGTATTCTTTCCTTCATTGGCTTTATTCAAAATTTAACATTTGAATCAATTTTTTCTTCAATCGAGATGATATAAGCGTTTAAATCGCAATAAGTTATACGACATTTTCGAATAGATATATTTACCTATTGAGAAAATAGGTACTTTGAAATATAATTCAAAATATTCAGGGTAATATCACGAAAGCGGTTTGTTGGTTATCACTCCAATGATTTCAGCAAAGTCCTGCTGTTAAAAGAATGGGAAACATCTACATGAACATTCTTTGTGAAGAAACTTGCACAAATATCTGTTAGATATAATTCAGTGTACATGGTGGTATTAGCCAAGAAAGTTGTTGTTTTCCGACAGGCATTTGACAAAACCTGCAGTTTAGGAACGTTGGGACACGTTCATATTCATAATTTAATTTCGAAACATTCATTTTTTCAATACATATGAACCTCTTTTCGAAACAATCGTTGAGTTTTTTCTGATTTCCACACTACGACAAGTAAGTTCGTAGAAGCTCAAAAATCATATCACTGATATGTCTAGAATAAATGGCTAAGTAGATTACGCTTGAATTTTTGAAACCCAGCTGTATGCTGTACATATGTATGTGGTCGAAACACGATGAAACTCATTATCTATCGAACATGAATTATTTTTCGGAATAGTACACAGAATATTCAGTAGAAGTTTGGCGTATAAAAGTTTTTCAAAATGTAATGTTTATGTGGGTATATTCCTTTATTTTCAAAAGTACTTCATGAAAAAACAAATTGTTTGAATAAATTTTCATTGAAATGAGGAGAGATGAATACATACAGTTTTGAACTTATTTTTGAAATAACCACTGAACCGCTCGGTATTTACCTACACCCTACACAATCCAATACTTCTCAAGAGCAAGTCTCTAACATAATTCGAATATGAGAAGCAATGTACAGGGTATTCCCTATTCGATGACCTATTACACGTATCTAGAGACCAAAAACACACGAGAGTTTAAAATTTTGGTTACCAATGTAGAATGGATTTGACAATGACATGTTTAAATAATCCGACTGTCATAATGAAGTAGTGAAGATGGATAATAATTATTATTCGAACTCTAAACTCCTAAACTTGTTTTATATTCATGTTGAGTGCGCTAAAATCATATCAATAAACTGTAGGAGATTTAATGAGTCATATCCCAATTTACCGGCAAATAGTAAAAAAAATTCATAAGACTTGAACGAAATTACCCCAACTATAGAAAAGTTCGTGCCTCAAAAAATCGAGTGAGTCCGGTGACTGGTGATATGGAAAATGAAATAAAGAATTTAGTATATTGGCATGCTTATCCTCATGCATCAGTATCTAGTACTGCGGTTGATTTGGACATGTCTCGAACTTCTATATGGAGAATTGTACAAAAACATAATATGCACGATTATAAATTCATTAGGCTCCAAGCTTTGCATACATATGATTCAACAAAATGAGTAATATTTGAGAAATGGCACTACATGGACATACTATGATCCAAACTCTTTGAAAATAAATTATATGGACTAATGAATCACAATTTTCACGTAAGGAAATATTCAATCGTCGAAATAAACACTTCCGGGCTTCAGAAAGTCCCCATTTCAGTTGACGAAGGGGATTCCAACAAAAAATCAGTTTCAATGAACTTGTCTCGGAATTGTTGGATGGAGCTCCTGGACATTGCCACCAATATGTTCGAAGATAGATGGATACGACCTTTTGGGCACTTGGATTTGGCCGCCTCGATCCCCGGATCTGACTCCTCTAGATTTTGATCTCTGGGGAAAAATCAAAGGAATTGTATATAGAACACCTATCAATACGAAACAGGAACTGAAAGATTGTGTTAGATATGTGCCTTCGAGGCACCAAGGTTTCTGTGTGTCTCCCTCCCGAAAATCAACTATGAAACTGATATTTATTATTGCACTTATCATATGGAATGATACAGAAACTTATATTTACAACAATGAATATCAGTACTATTCATCACGAAAATAAGTCTATCGGGCTTAAAATCTCCCGAAATCTTCATAAGCAAACTAAACTTCTCTGAAGAGGTGAAATACCTTAGTACTATCCTCGACAGAAAGCTAACATGGAACTCTCACCTATAGAGTAGAGAAAAAAATAGCATATGTGGCTTATGAGCAATGTCGGAGAACAGTGGGACGCGCATTGGGTCTTTCACCCCGTGTGGTCACCTGGATCTACACTGCAATAATGAGACCTATGTTAACGTACGGAGCCATTGCATGGGAACCGAAAGTTCTGCAAGCAACGGCCATCTAAAAAGTATGTCAATAACAGGAATTGATTTGTTTGAACATCACAGTAGCCATAATAACAACACCAACCGCGGCAATGGAATTATTTACTTGTCCGAACCCTCTGTACCTGTACGTTAAGGTGGTTGCTTTAATGGCCATGGTACGATTGTGCACGGCTGGTGTAAACCTTGAAGTAGGAATGGGTCAATTGAGGCTGCGCAACCTCTTCTGCAGGCAACCCGTGATGCAATTGAACCCAGGTTTGTGTTCAATAAATCCTTCAAAATACAAATGAAACAAAACACAGAGTCAGATGCTACAAATGCAATAAGCATATATACAAACGGCTCAAAAACCAAAGAAGGCTCAGGATGTGGAGTGTACTCCAGATCATTTAGCCTAAGGATCAAGTGGGAAATGGGAAAAATCCCAGTGTGGTTCGAACAGAACTGGCTGATATCTCAATCGCCACAAAATAAATTATCAGGAAAGGAGTTTCTAGCAGAAACATAACAATCTGCACTCATAGCAGACAAGCCTTATCAGCCTTGAACAGAAAACGTGTTACCTCAGGGCTAGTACTAGAGTGCCACCAAGATTTAGCCAAAGCCTCGTTAGATAATAACATTATCCTGAGGTGGATCAAAGGGCACGACAGGAGTTAATCACATTGCCGACTCTTTTGTCAAAAAAGAGGATGAACTAAAAATTTTAGGATCCAGTGGCACCTACAGCCTGATGACTACTAGCCAAACGTGACAATCATGCTCAATCCCTAAAGAGATGGGATAAAATCAAAGGATGCAATCTTGCCAGGATCACCCTGGGCGACCCTGGGAAGCTGGCACCGAAGTAATATCTGGCGATGACCAGGAAAAATTAAGCTCAGTTACTATTTTTTTTTTCATTTTGTTTAGATGAAGGATGAAAGAAGAATGTAGCGAATGTATTGACGAGTTATTTGGAACTAAACATTTCCTTTCTCTCCCAGTACCTGCTTCATGTGAACTGCTCTATAACGAATGTATCGTATGATAATTATGAATAGGAAATTATTGATTTTTCTGGATACAATGTGGCATCAAAACAATTTTTGTCATCATGTTACGGTTCCCAAAATGCAAGAGCGGATTTATAAGATAACAGAAATGTAATATATTGAAATCATATATTTATGCACAGCATCCACCCTGTTTAACATTCAAAACAATTCAGTTCAGTTTTTTGTGACAATCAGAATAATTCGACCTTGAATAACGTTGATAGGGAAAAAAAGGAAAGGAAAAAGAAAAAGGTTTTTTTTCTCTGGGAATGAGAGTTGAGTTTGGTTATCTTCTCTGGAGCAAGAATTTTGAGCTCATCACTTTGTGGATTTGAAGAAACCAAAATATTCAATACGTGAATAACTATATTTGGGTTATCTAAAGGAATAACTCGCCCACAGTATTGGGGATTTTTATTAAGTACCCGTTCTCTTGTCTAATTCCAATCTTCAGGCCACACAACAACTACGGTAAGAACCCACTTCCCGAAAATACCCTAAAGGGTATATCCTTCTAAACCTTAACCTTATTTTAGGCCTTCTTATTACCACCTCAAGTCGATATTGTGAAGTATATCCTGGTGTATCTCTCGCAAGGCTAGACCACTACACCCGTTATATCTCTGATTACGGTCTTCCGAGGAGCACGTTATCTGCATGGAAAAGATCATTGCCTGAGTGGACTGCGTACAGGGGTTGGATCGTGCTGCTGGAGACTATTGTCCCATATCCCATGCATGTAAGGTCCTTCCTGTTATGTATTACACCCTTCCGCACGACCTCGAATCAACATTGCGGCACAAATTGCGAATTCTAGAATGAACCAAGTATTTACCACAACTTAAATTTAATCATAAGTTGCTGACATTTATATCTGTGAACCCAAAAGTATACTTCTGGGCCATAAGCCTGTAATCACCATAAGCTTGGCGTGTTTAAAGAAAGAATACACTTATCCTCCAAGTGGACTTATATTTACCCATCATCCCTCTCCGCTGAGTTCCGGCAGCCCATGATTTAGTTCCTGAGTAACAAAGTAATCCGTTTCAATCTACGACAACGGATGTTACAATCCACTCCTCCATAGAATCACTTGAGTTACTCACTGAACACTGATTGCTCAAAACTGTCGATAACAATAAATGACAATACATTTTTTAATCTTTTCTAGAGTATGAAATAAGTTGAGTGTTTTCCGAGAACATATTCGGAACAGCTGATTGATCACTTATTCCATGAAGCAGACCCTGGAAATTAGTGGAAATTTCCGCCAATTCGTGAATATGTTTGAATATGTTTTTTCCGTTAACCAGCTATCGCATTCCTACGAACGACAACCCTCAGAAGTCAAAACTTGTGCGAGCTAAGGACTAACGAGGTCTTACCTTTCAACCTTCATGCCTTCATGAACAAAGGTGCAAGTGAAGTTTGCAGTTTTGATTCGATGATTGTGTTGGATTGAAAAGAATATGTTGCTCTTTCCGTTCATCCTAAAAAGATAGGTTCTCTTGTCAGTTTTCTATCCTTTGAAACGGTTATTAACTGAGAAACTTTTTTTTTCAATCATTCATGTAGCTTCTAGTAAATAACCTAATACCGGTGGCATCGAAAGTTTTTAGGAAAATTTCAAATACTAAGATCTATAAAACTCCTCAGTTTTGTTATTTATTTGTATATCGAGAAAAAACTGTTAAGATAATTCAATAGCATGTTAGTAAGGAATCAGTGTACCGTTCATAGTACTATTTATCCAATCCTGGTAACTCCCAACTCTTGTGAAGACGGTTGGATATTTATTTGATCCACAACTCTTCCCCCAAGACATAATTCCATATATTCGTGCGTTCATTATTCCTGCACCACCGTAATCCCCATCGCAAGCAGAAATGTTTGAATTTCCGCCAATCCATCCGCCGCAGAACATGTTCAAATTTATGACAGTCGAAGGATAAGCACTTTGACAATTTTCTCTAGACATTGATAAAATTTGAGCCATTTGAAGAGTGTCTGGATAGCTTCCATCTACTTTCGTCTGTCCCCATCCCACTATATTGATTGGAGAAAATTCTTCTATATCAGGATTTTTGTAAGGAAGTCCCCGAGCGAAAGCCAGAGTGTGATTGAAATCTTCATTGAATTGAATCACGGCTATATCTGAATCGTGAGTGATTTCGTTGTAATCTGGATGTGGTGTTGCATTTACTACTATAAGAATTTGACCATCCAAAGACCTTGAAGTGGATCCAGCGCGTGCAGTCAGGTCGGTCGGATGTAGATTAACACATTTTGCGGATGTTAATGCCCACCTAGAAGCTATTAGAGTTGCTCCACAAAAATGTTCATTCTGATGTTGAAGAGACAAAACTGCTCTGTGACGGTGTATTTCGGTGTCGTGACCACCTGAAATAGCTAATAGCAAAATATATGTTCAGCAGTAAAAACAAATTATCAGTTTATAAAACGTGGTATGTGCAAATCTTACAAGTGACTAGTTTATAAAATAGATTAATTGAAATCCTGGGGAGCTATCAACGAAATAATTTATTTTAGTAGATATCGAACTAGTATCTATATGGTTTCAAATGGAACATACTGAGACAGCGGAATTAGAATTGACTAAGTGACTTTTCATCAAAGTAAGATTAATTTAGAGTCTATTTCGGACGATTTTCTAATTTTCACGCCTACTACTAGCAATAGAGGATAGCAGCAGTTATCAATTTGAACTCAAAAGTTTCATTATCAGATTATTACAGTATTGCATACGACATTTTCGATGATTATAATGACGTAGCACTTCATATTTGCATGATTCTCCTGGCCAGGCAAGTGAGATATTAGACTGACCATTTGATGAGGAGACTGATCTTATCACTTCGCAACTTGAAAATTATTTCATATTAGTTTGTCATGAGAATTCATTTTCTCACAGCTCATCATAGACATGGAGCAATCTAAAGCAGAATTGACTTTTCAAATAGGTTCATGTTCTAGATCAATTTTCGCTATTCTTCTAAGATGTTCTGTCATACTCGTATTAAATATTTAATGGAAAATTAATCAATAAGTCCCTTCCTAGATTCGTTTATTTTTATTTCCTGTTATTTTTCATTTCTAACTTCTTTTGTGTGGTCTAGCCATTAAAACAACAAGATATCAATATCGTACAACTCATTATCATAATATATTTTCAATAAATGTGTTACTCGAATGGAAGATATATTGTATTTTCCTTTCTCATCAAGTGGAAAGTACATATCTCTTTCAGAGATATGCTCAAACACTGCAAAAAAATGTTAAAGCTTTTTGGAATCAGTGTATGTGTAATTGAAGAATGCATACAACTAACAAAAATCTTCAAGGAAAATAGTTGCTCCCAGTTCAACAACCGTTTCTATAGACCGCACTAAGGCACGGCATTGAATGAACCACTGCCTGTCTTATAGCTCATCCGTTAGAGGGTAGATTAGAATTGGAAGCAAAAGAGCATTTAAATTACTTTCACAGAGTCGAATCCGATATGCAGATGATATATTTGCAAATTTTAGAACAATGAAATATGAAGTAGAGGAGTTTATTCAACTTTCACCAACAAATCAGTTCACTCAATTTTCAGAAGGTGGAACTTGGTTGTCATATCGAGAAAAGGATTGCAGTTCTGATGTTCGGAAAAAGTGTTTGTTTTGAACAGATTTTCGAATATAAAATTTACATATGAACCCGAAAACAGCAAGGAGGTACCATTATTGGGTGTATTTGTGATTAGTAACCAGTGTCTAGAATTCGATGTATATAGGTATGATGCTAGTATTTCCAGATAACTTCCTGATAGTATTGTTCACGGAACCAAATGGCAGGACAGAACATTATTGTCGATAGGCTTGTTTCGTTTTCCTTGAGTAGGTAATGGAAGATACGATACTAAGAAAAATTATATCAGATACATATGTAACCAACATATATCCTTCAAATATAGTGGATGGGTTAATCAGGATAAATATCTGCATGCACTATCAAACCATCATCCTAGTCAAAAGAGTGGAGTCATCTCTATTATAACGGGCTCAAAGAGTATGTTAACCAGAGCATCTCGAGAAAGAACTGGAACTGGAGATCGAATGGATACAGCGTACCCGAAATCAACACGGCCCTGAAACTGAAGAGTTCCACGGTTCAGAACGGGGAGGCTCAGATGGCTGCACGTGCATATCTACCATATATCCCAGACAGAATTGGAGAACTCTTGGAGGAATACAACATAAAACGGTTTTCAAACCCACTAAGAAGATCAGGTGTCTGGGGTCGGCTAAAGGCAAGAGAGACCCACTATCGGCAGTAGGGGTTTATCGCATATCGTGCACTTGTGGGAAGGTATACATCGAAACCACCAAAAGATCAATGGAAACAAGGCTGAAGGATCATGAAAGAAGCTGTCGACTAGATCGAATGGACAAGTCGGCTGTGGCGGAGCACGCACTCAACGAGAGAAATCACAGAATTATGTTCGAAAACACGGAACTCCAACCAAGGATACCAGAGCCGACTGATACAAAAAACAATAAAGATTCACAAACACACGGATAATTTCAACAGAAAATAAGAAGCTGTGAACCCCAAACTAATATGGAATCCTATTGTGAGAAGTTCAAGAATGATAAGCAGCATGATGGAAGGTTGCAAAAGGTCGACGAATGTTCATTCGAATGAAATGAATGACAACACTTCTTTCTAATTTCCACGAGTTATTTCATTTTCACAACCGATTTCGGGTTTTATCGCTCATGTAAGCTTGTAGAAAATATTCAAAATTTTCTGAATACAAAATAACAACAGCTTTCATATATAATGATCATTTAAGCAGTATTCTGTTCGATGCAAAACCCAAACGAATGAAAAAAATCAGGTAAATATACAATAGAGTGTGATCTACAGTATATACAGGCCAAACCGGAAGAAATTACGACGTATGGCTCCGTGAACATGTCTGATTGGACAAAAAATCTACAATGTATGAATATTTGCAAAAATCAAAACACAAGATAGGTAGAGATAATTTCAAAATCCTACACACGTGTAATGATGGCAAAAAAATGAATTTGTTGGAAGCCATGGAATTCAATAAAGCAATTAAAAACCCAAAATTTATAACCCCAAACGAGCAACTCGATTTATGGAGGTCTCCTCTCTTGAACTCAAAGTTTGACAACCTCAGGAGTAGGAGATTTGAGCCGGTTCTAAGCCTCCCCCCACCACTATGACGTCACGTGGGGTGGATGACCTAGACCGACTCATGTGACCTAAGGGAATTTTATTTGGCTAAAAAAATATATAGAGTCCTACTGGAAATTCTCGACTTGGTTTTGTTTCCGATTGATGCTGTGAAGATTTTCACGAGTTTTATTATAAAAAATATCTGCTTCAGAGAACGCCGAATTTTAAGTTTCTTACTACATAAACAATTGAATGAGGCCGTGAGTAGTAGATTACTGCCGGTTCTGGGCTTCCCCCACCACTATGACGTATTAATTGCTTTTTTTGTTGTTGTTTAGTAACATCAAGACGATGTGACCTTGAAGTGTCTGGCGCATGGATCATTCAGAATTTTTTTTTTCAAATTAGTTTCTATATGTATGTGTGTGTGTGTGTGTGTGTGTGTGTGTGACTGCACGGTACAGGGTTTCATCATGTGCTTGCCTATGTACAAACATATGTCTGCATACTTTGAAGATCCTTCAAGTAATGAATGTTCCATCGGTGTGAGCCCACCAAGTGACGTCACAGCGGCAACCGTTCAACGGTAAGAGAGCAAGATGTTCACTCCACGACGTGTGACTGAGAAATGCGTATTCATCGGTGCGCCCTCACCTCACTCGATGCAGTCAAATCTGTGACGTAACGCATCGCTCTAGCCTCGCTATCGATGGTGACACGCAGGCGGCCGAGGACTGTGCTAACGTCTGCCCTCTCCGAAAGCGGAACGACCACTGCCTGTTATCGCATCCAGTTGGGAGGTGGCCTTGGCTGTGACGTCAGGCATCTCTAGTGGGTTGCAGAGTAGGGTGAACCGAAGAGAGTTGAATAACGTGGATTTGTATAGATAATATTGTAGAATCTTGTGAAGTAATAATCTGAAAATTATCAACTTGACCTGTTCCAAGGTATAGTTAGGGCAAATTGGGTGAATATAACAATTGGCAGAAATTCTCCCTATTACAGCAAAATTTGACCTCACATTTTCGCTTTGGAACCTCATTGAACTATTGAGGCCCGCGTCGGACTGCAAATTCGAAGGTTATAAAATAATCAGAAATGAGTAATGAGAAAAGTTCATTGCATGTATTCAAATGATTCAACATGAAACAAACCAATAAAGCACAAGTGATAAGAAATGAGAGTTCAGGGAGTGAATTCTTGTTGCTTGTAACTATCCAATGGAATTTAAGATCTGAATCTTGTGCAATGTTATATTCATGATGACGAATAAAAGAACAGTTATTATTTAGGTCTATTTCATGTACGGAAAACACTGAAGAGAGTGAAATTGAATTACAGAATACATATTCGGAAGAGAAATAAATATAGTAGGATTTGGAAAAATCTTGAGGTTTGGTTAGAATTTAGAAATTGTCGAAAGAGACAACTGCTTTGATGAGCCGATTTTCTATAGTTTGTGCCTGTATTTCTTGGTCCCGTATGACAAAAACTTGTCGATTTTGATATTGCACGTAGCTTTTGCATTTCGTTTCGACCTTCACAGTATATGACATCAGCGTAACTATAACTGAAAAGTAGGATGTGCCATCACTTTGATCGAAAATAAATTCATTCACCTGTCATTGCCAGATTTACTCATCAAGTTTGGTTTGACTTTGAAATAAATGCAAGGTTATTATCTGCCCCAAAACAGATGCGTAGATTCAACACATAACATTTTACAGAAGAACAGACTGACATTTCTCACGCATATGCATGTCTAACATGAACTAGGCACCACATATTTATTGATGATTCAAAATGCTACACTATATTTTTTCTTGAAATATAATGACATTACAATTTGAAGCAACATAGTAGATTATATTGACGTAACTTCAACTGAAACGTGGGTATCGCCTCACTTTGGTCTCATTTTTTCCACACATTGGCAAAATCTGATGGTGAAGTTTGTTTTAACCTTGAAACTAAATACTAGGATTTTCTCGAGGGTCGAGTTCTCATGTATGCCGATGAAAAAGACATATTTTTCACACCTGAATATATTCTCGACATGAACTTTTACATGTCGCATTACACATGGTTCAATTTGAAATGTATTACTATCTTGTTCTGAAAACCCAATATTATCCAAGATTCAAGTAAGCGTGTATTCAACCTGAAAACTGATTCCTTTCCTCCACCATTTCATGATC